ATCTTTTATTTTTCTTTTTCATTCATCAATTTAGCAAATATTATTATTAAAGATAATTTTAACAGATAGAAAAAAGAAAGACAAAGAGAGAGAGAGAGAGAGAGAGAGAGAGAGAGATAGAAGCACAAAGGAGAAGGAAAATAGAAATAAAATAATATTTAAATTTATGATTTCATTCAAAATATCTAACAAAAAAAAAAAAAAAAGCAAATAAAAAATAAAATATTGAAACATTTTTGAAAAAATAATTGTCAAATTAAGAAACATCTCAGATCTTTTATACTGTCGTTTTTGCTTATATACAATGTTTGATTAGCTTAAACTAGCTAATTTCAACTAGCCTAGCATTTTTCTATAGCCTAAAAAAAAAAAAAAAAACAGTCATTTTTTTTTTCTTTCTTTATAGAATTTCATTTTTTTTTCTTCGTTTGCTTTCAACTTCCTCTTGAAAACTATTTTTCATCTTTTTTCTCGCATATACTCATTTTTAGAAAATATATATACATATATATCAAAGATTTTATCAACAAGAAGTAATCCTGAAATTGAAATTCAATATGAAATGTTTTCACTAATTTAAGTTAAAAAAGAAAAAAAAATGAAAATAGTAATTAGATTGTATCAAATTAAAATTAGAAGTAACAAATATCCGATAAATATGAATAAAACTAGAAATAAATATGAAAATAGTAATTAAATTGTGAAAACTAGAAATAATAATAATAAGAAAAATAAGAAAAAATATTTAAATTAATTCAAATAGGAGAAAGAATTTAAAAAATTGACACTAATTAATATGATTATAATGTTATAAAAAGAAAATATGAATTCTTTGTTTCATCTATTTTCTAAAAAAAAAAAAAAGTTTTATGATTATTTTCATAATTGCATTTTTATAATGTAAGAAAAAGAAAATAATTTAATGTTTCCTTTTTTTTTTTTTAAAAAAAAAAATCTACTTTTCATAAAATTTCGTTTTGCATACAATTTTGTGTTTTTTTTTCACTTCAAAAACAAAAAAGAAAAATTATAAAAATTCTTTTCTTTAAAAAGAAAAAAGAAATTTACTATAAAAAATGCTAAAGGAAAAAATTATTTTAATAATAAAGTGTTTAAGAAACGAAAACAAATGTCAACAAATTTTAGTTAAAAATTTACAATTCGATTTAATCAAATGTTAAGTTTATAAAACAAAAAGAAATGAGAAAAATTGAATTGCTAAAAAGTAATTTCAATTAATCATCAAAATATTAAATTATTCATTGACTCAATTATTAGAAATATAAACTAAAGTGAAAAAAAAGAAAAAGAATTAATAAAAAAAAAAAAAAACAAAAATGCTAAATGGTATAAAATTAATAATATAAATTAATAAGAGTTAAAAATTATTAAAAAACTATCAGTGGGTATTAATTAAAAAATTTTTTTGTATGAAAATTTAAATTTGTTTGAAATTTAAGTTTTTATCAAATATTATTGCAAAAAAAAAAAAAAAAAGAATTTGAAAAAAAAAATAAAAAATGTAGCATTTTCATAATTGGAAGAACAAAATTGTTTCTTCTTCCTCTTTCTTTTCTATTTTTATTTATTTATTTATTTTTTCTTTCTGAAAATTATGCATCAAAGAGAAAAAAGTTAAACAAAAAAAAAAAACAAAATTGTAAAAATTTCAAACAATTTTTATGGATTAAAATTAGAAATGTTAAATAAGTGAGAGAGAGAGAGAGAGGAGAGAGAGAGAAAAAGCAGCTAGAGAATGCAAGAAATATTGCATGTATATGTCAGAAAAGAAAAAAAAAAGGAAATAAGGAAAAAAAAATATTTGAGTGTGAAAATAATAATAAGTTGCTAGATGCAATTTAAAATGCCAAAAAATCTTGGCTTATTTTAAAAATAAAACCAATAAAAGTAAGTGAGTCTGTGTGAGAGAGAGAGACAGAGAGTGACACAGAGAGAGAGAGAAAGAAAGAGGAAGAAAAAGAATGTGTGAATGAATGAGTGAGAAAGAGAATGAGAAGAATTTTTAAGATTTGCTTTTTTCAAAAAGATTTTGCTATTATCATTTTGTTGTTTAAAAATGTTTGCAAAACTGAATGATAAACAACATACTTGTTAATCATTCAAATCTTTTTTCCTTTTTCATTTGTTTCTTTTCTGAATGTATAATTTCAAACAATTTTCACTCTCTAACTTACATCCATCATTTTACCTTAGCATAAATTTTATGATTATAATTATCAAAATTTGTAAATATTAAACTTATTATCATCTAATTTATCACATTCGAATCTAGATGTTTAATTATCATATCAGTTTAATTAACATACCTCTATTATTATTCCTTCATGTATTTATTTCTAAAAACTTTTATTTCTAAATACTCTTTTCAAAAAAAAAAAAAAAATTAAATTAAATTCATTAATAACACCTTAAATGAGATATTTAATTATCATAATTCTATTATCATTCTAATATCATACTTCCAAGAATTTATTTTTAAAAAATATTATTCTATTTTTTCAAACAAAAAAAAGAAACTGTGTTATTATTTACCAAAATTATGATTATTTTACATTAGTTTCATTTATAAATGATTTTAGTAATAATTTCAGGTCAAAATTTTTCTGAAGCATTCAAGAAAATACTATAAAAACTATTTCATTTTTTAATAAATTTTCAAAAATCATATTCCATGTTAAACATTTCATTAACATTATTACATTTCTATCACAAAAATAATTTTTTAAATCTCATTCATTTTCCAAGAATTCTTGATGAAATTTATCCAAAATAAAATAAGCAAAATATTTCGTTTTTTAAATTTTTTAAAATAGGATTTTTCTTTTTCTTAAATTAGAAAATATGATATGAAAATGAAATATGATATTTGTGAATTAGAAGTTCATCCTCTAATGAACCCAAACAATATTAATTCAGAAAAAAAAAAAGTGAAATTAGAATCGCAGATGGATCAGTAAGAAAACGAAGGCATTTTACTGTTTTTAACAAACAAAAAAAGAAAAAAATTAATAAAATAATAAAAATAATATTTTTCAAACAAATATATAATAGTATTTTTAAATTTAAAATAAATTTTTCTTTTGTACTTGAAAATAAAAATTGTGCTAAATTAGATATGATAACTGCAAATTAATGAACAGATAAAATATGAAATAAATAATTATATATAAGAATTTTTAGATAATAATAATAATTTCTTTTTCATAACAATAACAAGAATGTTGATAATAAATAATTATTAACAACAATAATAATGATGATTAATCACACTAATAATAATGATAATAACATTAATAATAATAATAATAATAGTGATAATAAAAATTGTTATTAAAATAATAATAATAAGCAGTAATAATCATAAAAATATAAATGATAATAATGAAATAAGTTTTTCCCATGTTCATCTCATATCTCACTCCAAATATAGAATTAAATTTTAAACAATTAATTAATCAATTTCAATTCAAATTTAATTATCTCCAAGATATCTGTATATTATGAGTAATATTCAAATTTTCAAGTATTATAAAAGCCATCTATAATAATTTTAATTTTTTTTTTTTGTCCATAAAAGCCTTTACTCATTGCCATGTCACATTTCAAGATTAAAAGTGACAAAATGACAAAATTGATAGCAATAAAAGAATGGGAATAGGATCAGCAACATTTCTATCTTTTCAAACTTGAAAATGTTAGGGAATGCTGAAATTTTTCAAATTTGATTTTTTTTCTATCAAAAAGAAAAATTGCAGAAAAAATTTGAAAATATACTATTTCGATTTTTGAAAATACGTTTTTTGTTTTTTTTTTTTTTTTTTTTTGGAATTCTCTCTAATTCAATTTTTCGTTCTTATCTTATGCTTTCGGTTTTTTTTTTCTCTCTGTTTTGAAAATTATGAAAATATTGTATATATTTTGAAAAAAATAATTTACATTAAAATCATCTTTGTTGTTTCTAAACATTAATAATAAATATTCTGTTTTAATTTTTAAACTTATTTCCAAAATAACTTTTATTGTTATTAGCATCGTTATTATTGCTATTACAATTGTGAATAAATTTTTATTATTATTACTGCATATTATTATCACTATTATTATTTATTATTATATTCCTATTCTTATTATTATTGCTATTAATACTATCATTATTTGTTATTAATATATCATTATTATTGTTAATATATCACAATTATCATTGTTATTATTATCATTATCGTTGTCACCACTGCTATCAGCACCAGCATTATTATTAACATTATATTATTATTATTATCAGCATGTCATAACTGTCATTGTTTTCATTGTTATTATTACTATTATTATTATCATTATCGTTGTCATCATTGTTATCAGCATCAGCATTATTATTAACATTATATTATTATCAGTGAACAGCATTTACAAGTACCTATTTTTACTTACTATTAATAAATAATTTAATTTAAAATAAGTAGAAGTAAATTTTCCTGTAAAATGTTTAAAAATTTGATGTTAAAATTCATGAAAAAGATGGCGATATAAATTAGAAAATTCAAAAGAAAAGTCATGATGATTAGAAAAAATAATTGTTGGAATATAACTTTTTATTTTGCTTCTGTAAAAATTTGAAAATTTTTTAATAAGCATAAATCATCTTCTAATTCCATTAATGTAAAATAATATTGTTTGAATTTTTATTAAAAAAAATTCATTTTATTTTTTCAAATTTAAACAAAACATTAGTAATTTCACTTTGTAATACCTTTATTTCAATAAAATTTGAAGTGTAAACTTTTTTTTTTCCTTTTATCAATGAAGAAATGCGCATATTCTGCATGTTAAAATTATAATAATCGTAAAGTAGCAATTTAATTTGTTTTCTCTTTTCATTAATTAAATTTAACTATTCTGAAACACATTGATTCTTTGTAACAAAAAAAAGCAAAAAAAAAAAGTTTCAAATATTTCAAATTAAAAAAAAAAAAACAAACAAATCAAAATGTAACCTTAATTCCAAGTATTCGACATGTATCCTCATAAGCTTTATGCCATAAATTTTTATAATTTCTTTTTGATAATATCAATTCGGCTTCATTAATCCTTTCAATTTCATTCCTAAAAATAATTGTTTCTTTTTTCTTTGTATATTTTTCAATTTATAAAATAAAATTTTAACGAATTTTTGGAAAAAAAAATTTAAAAAAATTTCAATTACTAACTTTTCAGCTCAATTAATCATCATTAATACAGTTTATCAAATCAAATATTTCTTTTCTCACACATTTTATTTCATAGCAAAAATTTGCATTCAAAAAAAAAAATTACAATGTTTATTACATTGAATAAAATTTTTAAAATAAAAAAAAAAAATGCTAACTTTATAGCAATTTAAATTATTTCCATTCATTAATAAAAAGTATTCAATAATATCACTAAACAAAAATTATTAATTGCTCATTTTTATTTTTATTTTTTTTTTTGTTAATTTAAACCATTTTTTAATTCTCTTTTCTTCTTCTTTCTGAACAGAAATCTTCCGAACAATAAAATTAATTTTATATTTCAAATTATTATTATTATTTTTTTTTTGATTTCATTTTCATCTTTCCTTTTTTTACAAATGCATTAACATAAATTTTTTTTTTTTTTAAATTTAAATGTTTCACTTCTATCTAATATCAAATGTAGATGTGTGAAATTTTTTTTTTACTATTACTATTAATGTTAGTAATATATGTTCATTAATTAACTTTTTAATTATTATTGTTAAATTTTGATATATTATATGAAATATGCATTTTTAATTTAAAATAATATTTAAATTTTAATTAATATTTGAGTTCTGTTCTGTTTTTCTATCCTAGAAATTGTAGAAAATGAAAATAAAATTAATCAGTCATACATTTGCTGATTATCATCCATTGTAAATTGCACTTTTAATATCTTCGATTGCATTTCGTCATTATTGTGGCGCTCAAATGAATATTGCGCCTCATTAAGTTCATTCCTTATTTCTTGTCTACAATGTAAACAAATTAATATAAAAATAGAATTCTTTATTTAAAAAGAAGAAAGAAGGAATTTTTAAACTTTTCAATAACTATCAAAAGAAAAAAAAAAGTTAAAATATTTGAAACATTTAAATAAAATCAATAATAATAATAATATCTTTTTTATAAATATAATATATAATTGAATTAAAAACAATAATTAAAATAAATTTTAAACTAATCAATATAAGAGAAAAAGAAGTTAAAATATTTGAAACATTTAAATAAAAACAATAATAATAATATCTTTTTTATAAATATAATATATACAATTGAATTTAAAAAAATGATTAAAATAGAAACGAAAACGATAATTAAAAAAGAATAAATTATACTTTTCATTGATGGAATATTGCTTGTTATGATCATATCGCATTTGATCAAAATTATTAATTGAACCATTCGGTAGTTGTTGATTAGTGAAATTTAATTGATGATTATTTAAATCATTGATATAATAATGATTCATTTCAGGATGATCTAATGATTCATGTTCTGATTCTGTTGGTGGCATATCATATTGATTTGTTAATGTAGATGATTTATTCCTGTAAAAATTATTGCGATAAATAATTTAACAAAAAAAAATTTTCATTGCCTTTTTTTTTAAAGAAAGAATAATAGTTCAAATTGCTATTATATTCATTGTTTATTATTATTACTTTTTTTTTTTTAAAAAAAAGGTTTAAAAAAATTTTTTTCTAAAAAAAAGAAATTATTTGATGATAAAAAATACAAATTATTGCTTCCATTTTTTTTTTATTAATATGATTAAATATAAAAACATCAATTTAAAAAAAATTAAAAAAAATTAAAAAATTAATTTTTGGCATCATTTATTGTACATTGCTATTATTCCGATTACTATTATTAATTGCATTCATCATTTATTAAAATTATTTTAATTATTATTTATTACTAATATCCATTACTGTTATTATTTTTCATTATTGTTTATTACTACTGTTTACTATTATTATTATTATTGTTATTGATATTAATTATTATCATCATTAACATTATTATTGTTATTCTTATTAATCAATGATTTATATGAAGAACTGAATGAAACTGTCATTTCAATCTATTACCTATTTACTTTTTCTTTTTTCAATTTTAAATGATAAATGAAAAGATGAAAGAAAGATTATTGACTCACTGCATTACTGTCGAATAATCATGCCAAATCTCATTATCATCATCATCATTATCATCATCATCAACATCGACATTATCATCATCATCATCATCACCGTCCTCATCATCATCATCATCGTCATGATAATGCCTTTATAAGAAAGATTGATTTTATCAACAAAAATATTTTAAAAAAGGAAAACGAATCAAATTTTAAAGCAGAAGTATTTCATAGATTAAGCCACACAACAAAGAACAAAAAAGTCAAACTTTAATAAAATTCTTTTGCAAATTAAGCTCACTTCAATTTTACAGACATATCAGTTAGTTACACTTTTAAATAATAATGATAATAGCACAACATTCAACAACATACTTTTACTTTTTTTCTCTTTTTTTTTATTATATAAATCTAAATTATATTATCATTGATATCTTCAGTTATCATTTATTTTTAAAAATATTAGCAATCAATTTTCTCTTTTCTTTTTATATAAATATTAATGATTTCATTATTATTTATATTTATATAGCAATATTGATTTTTCAATTTTCTTTTCTTTTCCTTTTTTTTTTTTAATTTGTTTTCCCTTTGAATAAACATTTATGTTTTTTTTTTTCTTCCTCTTTTGTCAATGTTTGAAATGTATATAACTTAAGCTTAATTCAAATATATTTGTAAAAATTTATAACATATTGCGATTTAAATTTAGAAAACAAAAAAGTTTTCATTGTAAATTATGAATTATTATTTTTTTACTTTTGAAATATTTAAATTTTATTACAAATTTTTAAATTATATTTTTTTAATTAGATAATAATAATTAACCTTCGCATTGGAAACATTTTTTGATGTATTAGTTGTGGACGACTATTATATGATAATGGTTCTTGCTCTTCGGTCCAATCCATATTTTGTTCATCATCCCATTGTTCTCTTAAATTATTAACATTTAAATAATTATTAATTTAAAATTTATCATAATTAATTAAAAAACAATTATCATTTCTAAATAAATAACAAATAAATAACAAAACTATTTAGTTTAATATTATATTTTAAATTTAATTAGTCATCATTTAAGTGTTCCTTTGCACTATATTTTTAACAATAAAATCTTTCATAATACTAAAAATTAAATTTGTTTATAATGATAGCATAGTAGACTATACAAAACTGATAATAACTGATAATCTATCACAACTGGCAAATAATTAAATCAAAGTATTTGATAAAATTTAAATTTCTGATCAAATAAAAAAAATTTTTATTAAATAAGAAATTTATCAGATAATATCTAAGCATATATCATATATTTAGCAAAAGATATAATAAATTAAATCAATTATAATTCTTTTGTTATCAATTATAATTTGTTTCATAGAAAAATATACTAATCAAAATTCAAATTTAAGCTAAAATGAGAAGCATAGGGAAAAAAAGAAGTAGAGAATTAAAATTACTATATTAGTTATCAAAAAAAAAATGAGGTAAGAAAATCAGCTAAAGAGAAGAAAAAAGATAAACAGAAGAAAATAAGTGGAAAAAATTTTCAAAAAAAAAAAAAAAACTAGTAAAATGATCCAAGAAAAGAATTATGCGTAAGATATTTAGAGAAATTTTTTGATAAACAATAATCGAATACGTATTTTTATCATTTTAACTGGAAAAAAAATGATAATAATAGTAATAGTAATAATAATAACAATAATGATAGTAATAATATAAAAGATAACAAAAATATATTAATAACAATAACTTAAAAAAAATAGTAATGAAGAAGTATCAATAATAAACTAATTAATTGATAAATATTAGAAAATTTTTAGTCACATAAAAATTCAATCAGAACTAATTAGTGAGCTAACAATTTAATTTTGTGTTTTTTAACGTCAAACATTGAACATATTTTATATAACATTTTGATTTGAAAATATATTTATTGCAAATTTTATCAATAAAAATAAAATTAAGCATTAAATAGAATTCTGGTTTAAAAAAAAAAGAAAATTAAAAATATTATAAATCTTTTTACTAAAACTACTGATAATAACTCATTATCAGTGCTAATTGCTATATTTATCATTACTTTATGTAAAATTATGATTCAAAAAAAAGAAAATAATTCTAAATTCTAATTTAAAGAAAAATGAAAGAATTTAAAATTTTATAATTAGAAAAGTAAAAAGACACCTTGCTTCATTATCATTATGATATTCATCACTTTGATATTGCTCACCAGATGTACTGGGTTGAAAGTAATCATCTGATTGTTCAACTGGATCATAATAATGTCTATCATGATAATCATTATCATAGCTACAAGTAATCATTATCATTTATCACTAACTGAATTAGCATTCATTTCTTTATAACAAATAATAATTTTGTTAATTTTTGTAAAGTTTAAAATAATATTTCAATACATAGTTCTCAAAAATTGTTGATTTAAATTTTCAATAAATTCATCAAAATATAATTTAATATTTATAATTAAATAAAAAAACGCAAAAAAAAAAAAAAATGACTTTAAACTATTCCGATTTCTCTCCGAACGATCATATTCATCATTATTTTCAATATTATAAACATTACGTAACATAGATTCTTGTCTTACGGTTTCACGTGAATACTGATGACGTGATAGCGAAGCGTTTACTTCCGTTGAATAACCAAGCATATCATCATAATATTCAGCTAAAATTTATCATTCATTCAAATCTTATGAAAAACAACAAAAAAAAAAGCAAAAAAAAAATTCAATTATCTCTGAAAACATTTACAAAGCCACTAAATGACACAATTAAACGATTAAATTAAAATGAAATGTTTTTCCAATAAATAGTAAATGGATTTAGAATAAATTTACAAATAATATTATTGTAACAGAAAGAAACGAAAAAAAAAAAACGAATTATCATTTCTCTTAATAACTGTTTACTTTAGAAAATCTAATTTTGAAAATTTTTAATTAATAATTAATTATGAAATAAAATTTTAAAAGCTTCACCTCATGCCAAAAAAAAGTGGAAATTTTTTTTTTTAAATTTTAATATTAATTTTAACTGATATATGATATTTTATTATCACTATTACTATACAAAGAAATATTGATAATTTATAGTATACGATGAAATTGAAATTTTCATAAGAAATATGTATGCGTATGCGTACGTGTATGTATGTATGTATGTATGTGTGTAGGTGTGTCGGTGTGTCGGTGTGTCGGTGTCTGGCAGATGTTTATAGCAATTAAAAAACAATTGACAAATAAGAAATGGAAAGAGAAGGAAGTGACATCGTCGAGAATAAATGTGGCTGTGACGTATGACAGAAGAAAGGAAAGGAAAAAAAAACAAAGTAAGAAGGATAAAGAGGTAATGTAGAAGTGATAATTTTTTGAATAAAAAATGAGAAAAAAATCTCTGCCATTGAAAAAAAGAAAGAAACAAAAAAGAGAGAAGGAAGGAAATGAGTGAGAGGAAGGAGGAGAGGAAAAGGAGAAGGAAAAGAGGAGGAAAAGGAGAAGGAAAAGGAGGAGGAAGGAAAGGAGGAGGAAAAAGAGAAGGAAAAGGAGGAGGAAAAGGAGAAGGAAAAGGAGAAGGAAAAGGAGGAGGAAAAGGAGAAGGAAAAGGAGAAGGAAAAGGAGAAGGAAAAGGAGGAGGAAAAGGAGAAGGAAAAGGAGGAGGAAAAGGAGGAGGAAAAGGAGAAGGAAAAGGAGAAGGAAAAGGAGGAGGAAAAGGAGAAGGAAAAGGAGAAGGAAAAAGGAGGAAAAAGAGAAAGTAAAACTGATCGAATGTAAAAAAAAAGAAAAATTAGTGTATATCATTTGGAAGTGTAAATTAAAATGAGAAATAATTTAAATTAGAATAAATGAGTGAATAAGAAGGTAATGAAGTAATTAAATGCATGAATGAATTGTTAGTGATCGATGATAGTTAATGAATTATTTGAAAATTAAAAATAATTAAAGAGGAAGAGAGAGAGACAGAGAGGGAGAGAGAAGGAGAGAGAGGGAGAGAGAGGGAGAGAGAGGGGGAGAGAAGGAGAGAGAAAGGGAGAGAGAAAAGATGTAATTTCGTAAAGATAACGAAGATGAATTATTTTGAAGGCAAAAATAGTTTTATTGAATAAATATGCATAAATAATAGCTATAAATTAATGTTAGGATAAATCCTTTCTTTCTTTCTTTTTTTTTGTTTTTAATTCTTTATATTATAAATTTTTATTTATTCGTTTTTTTTTTTTATAATAATTATTTTACTATATTATAATTATTTCATTCAATTAACAGATTTATTTAATTATTTCATTTAATAGATAAAATTCCTTTTGCTTTAATCAATTTCAAATGAAATCATTATATAGTAAAATAATTATTACAAAAAAAAAGCAAATGAATAAAAATTTATAATACAAAGAATTAAAAAAAAAAGAGGTAATCAACTTTACTTAATTTTAAGTTCAATTTAAAGAAAAAAAAAAGAATTAGCAAACTTGATTTTTGAACTTGTTCGTTATCATCTGAATAGAATTGTTGTCGATAGGCATCTTCTTCATCTTCATAACTTGCCTGCAATATCTGTTCATGGGATAATTAATAATTAATAATTAATGCTTATTGCTATTACTACTTCTTTTTAAAAAAAAAAAAAAAAAAAATCAAAAATCAAACGTAACTAATAATTAAATGGAATTAATCACTTCAATTCCAAAAATTCAACGAAGAAGAAAGCAAAAAAAATTCGAGAATGAAGGCAATAATAATAATTAATGAGTAACAATAACATTAGTAATAATGACAATTATAAAATAATGATAACAGTAAGAACAATAATAATAGTGATAGTAATAATAATAATGAATAATAAAAGTAATAGTAGATACCAATAATAACAATAATGATGACTGCAATTTTAATTATTATTATTATTATAATATAGTCATAATCAAAGGAGAAGAATTTAAAAAAAAAATGAAATCGAAAAACATAAAATCATTTTTAACAAAATAAAAGAGCAAACTAAAAAGCAAAAGTTTATAAAAAAAATTTCAGAAACAATAATCTTAAAAGCTAAAAATTAAAAATCTATTTAACTAATAACGAAAGCTTAGTGTAAAATTTTAATAAAAAGAAATGCTAAATATAAAGGTGGATTAGATAGATAAATGAATGAATGAATGAAGTGATAATTGATTGTGCTATCAGTTATCACTTCTATATTTCTTAACATTTTCTGGAATACCCGCCCATAGCGGGGTTATTTGATCAACTGATAAATAAGGCTTACAAATTTATCTTTTATATGGCAATTATTTTGGAGAAAAAAAATATTTTAAATTGAAAAAAGAAAAATGAAATCAAAAATAGCAAACGGATAAATGTTTTCTTTTTTTTATAAAAAAGAAAAATTCAGTAGCTGAAATAATTTTCTTCTTCATTACCAAATCATTTTTTAAAATTTAAAAAATTACCTTACATTTTTTTTAGCTTTAAATTCCTTTATTCTTTCTTCATTTTCTCAAATTTACAATATCCTTTTTTTTCCTTTGTATTTTTGAATTTAAATAATTAATTGTGACTTTTTTTCTTTTAATTTCAACTAATTTCTCATAAGTTATAAAAAAAAATTCCCAATTTTTTTCTAAATTAAATTTTCTAATGCAAAACATTTGTAAATTGCGATTTAATGGATAACAAAGAAAAAAAAAGACATTTTGTTAAATAAATTCTATTTCTAACATTAATGAATGAGTTAAAATTAATTGAAATTAAAAAAAAATTATCAAATAAATTCCATTTCTAATATTAATGAAAATAAATTCCATTTCTAATATTAATGAAAATAAATTCCATTTCTAATATTAATGAAAATAAATTCCATTTCTAATATTAATGAAAATAAATTCCATTTCTAATATTAATGAAAATAAATTCCATTTCTAATATTAATGAAAATAAATTCCATTTCTAATATTAATGAAAATAAATTCCATTTCTAATATTAATAAAAATAATTACCATTTCTAGTATTAAAGATTTAAAATTGATTGGAATTTATTCATTTATTTATTTATTTTTTTTTTCTTTTTCTTCAGTACTTTTAAAATTACCTGTTCAAATGGTAAAAGATTTTTGTCGTATTGTCGTTGGTGTCGTTTATTTTGATGCAAATGACTGTACCATTGATGTGCCGAACTATTTGGATGATGGACAGGAAATGATACATCTGATGTATAATCAGAATCTTCCGAAATACCAGCTGTAAAAGAAGAAAAAAAAACGGAAAATGAAAACGGAAAATGAAAAGAGAAAAAAAAATGAAAGAGAAAAATCAAAGGAAACGAAAATTTTTTACAATGAAAAAAAAAAAAAAATTAAAGTAATACATTTGAATTCGAATATACCATAAATTCTAATATTCTAATATATGTATTTGTATTTGAATTTGAGAAAAAAAAAATGAAAAAGACGAATCTTTGTTTTAATTTTCAAAAAGATTAAAAAATTGTAAATAAAAACAAACACAAAATTATATGTTAGCAATAAATTTTTTTTTTTTTGATCATTTCATTTTCATTTTAAGCAATGATAATGATAACAAAATGATATCAGTTATTATCAATTTGCATAATATTTTATTTATTTTCAATGATGAAAAAAAAAAAAAACAGAAAACTTTAATAAGTTATCAGAATTTTTTCTTTATTTTTTTTTTTTTTTAAACGACAAATTAAAATTTCTGCGAATGTTTTCTTTTTTTTAATTCCTATTAAATTTGTCTTAAGTAAAGAGTATTTACTTCAATAAATGATTCTAATTATCATTAATTTTGATAGCTTGAAAAGTACTATCTAATTATTATTGAAATTACATTCACAATTTGGAGAGAAAAGAAAAAAAATAACAGATTTTGAAATTTAAATTTCTTTTTCAAACTAATCCAATGAATATATTTTAATTTTCAAATTCATTTTTTCCTTCAAATTAAAACAAAAACAGAAATTTTGTTTTTTGTTTTTTAAGAAATAAAACAAAAGATTTTAAGATTAGCAGATTATAAGGATAAGATGCTCAAAATTTACTTTCAGTTAAAATTAAAGGACTTTCTTTTTTTGACAAATGTCAACAATTTTGATAAATATTTCATATATTGCCTGTCTATTTGCTGACTGAAATAAAAGCAATTTTTATTTTTATTTTGTTTTATTTTTTTATAATCTTTTTTTAAAAAAAGAAAAAAAGGATAAAAGCTTTATTTCTATTAACCTTGAATACAAGATAAAAAGATATGAAGTTTGTAGTTCAAATTTTAAAACCGATAAAATTTCACTTATAACTTTAATATTTATGTGTTATTAATTAATTTAATTATTTCCATTTTTAAAAAAACACAAATATGTTTATATTAATTTCAAATTAGAATTTGATATAAACAAAATTTTTTTCTTTTTTTGATTTGAATAAATAATAATAATAAAAAATTTATTATAATTAAAATGAAAATTAATTTTAAACAAATCATCGCTAAGCAATCAGTAATTATTTTCATTTGATAAAATTATTTATTCTTTCTTTTTTTTGCAAAGGATAAAAACAGAATTTTTGTTGAAAAAAGTTCGAAAACAAGAATAAATGCTAACAATTTCTCTCTCTCTCTCTCTTTCCCTTCTTCTCTCTTTACCTCTCTCTCTTTCCCTACTTCTCTCTTTACCTCTCTCTCTCTCTTTCTTTTTTTTTAATGAGAATAAATTTAAAGAATTAATACTTACAACGTATTAATGGAGCACGTTCTTCTTGCCAGTGATCCTGAAACTGTGAAATTTTAGAAATGAATGGATGAAAAATTAATAAATGCAAATGCCAATAATATGGCAAAAAGAATAAATAAGCTATAAATCATGATTAACTTGATTATTAATCGTCTATAAGTTATTATCACGATTAAAATTATGTTATCAGTCGATTATAACTCGTTATCACAATCAAACATGAAACAATCAGTTATCTATAGGTCATTATCATTATTAATCTATAAGTTATTATCACGATTAAAATTATGTTATCAGTCGATTATAACTCGTTATCACAATCAAACATGAAACAATCAGTTATCTATAGGTCATTATCATTATTAATCTATAAGTTATTATCACGATTAAAATTATGTTATCAGTCGATTATAACTCGTTATCACAATCAAACATGAAACAATCAGTTATCTATAGGTCATTATCATTATTAATCTATAAGTTATTATCACGATTAAAATTATGTTATCAGTCGATTATAACTCGTTATCACAATCAAACATGAAACAATCAGTTATCTATAGGTCATTATCATTATTAATCTATAAGTTATTATCACGATTAAAATTATGTTATCAGTCGATTATAACTCGTTATCACAATCAAACATAAAACAATCAGTTATCTATAGGTCATTATCATTATTAATTTTGAAAATATTAATCGTCTATGATTTATTATCACGATGAAAATTACGTTATCAATTGATTATAAATTTCTCATTTTAATTTTAAAATAAAATAAAAATAAAATTAAAATATATATCTATCTATGTCATTTATTTTACAAAAAAAAAAATGTGTTCCCATTTTTATCAAATATTTCATAAATTGCTCATATTTATCAAATTTTTTAAAAATCGTTTATTACAAAAATGAAAATTAATTAATTAATTAATTAGTCGACCAATTTATCAATCGATCTATTATCAATAAATTCATCATTTAATAAAATGCGAAACAAAAAATAAAAAATGAATAAAACGAAAAAATGGAAAAAAGCGAAAGAAAGAAAATAAAAGCTATTGTAAATTTTACATTAATAATATAAATAAAGTAAAAATTTAATTTTTACTTCATTTTTTTAAGAAAAAAATATTGAAAAAGTTTAATAATAAATTTTGATAACAGTATATGATCACTTCTAATTATAATTTGCATCTAATCATTTTGTTATTTACAGTTACAAATTTAAAATTTAAGAATAAAATTATTGTTCGTCTAATTTTTTTTTTCTTTTTCACTTTTTCCTCTTTTCCGTAACTAAAAACGAAAAGAAAGAAAATATAATTATCAAAAGATTTTTCATTTTTATTTGTTTTGATTGATGAGCACAAGTAAATGTTGTCGATTAAATTAAGTAAGTAAATTCAATTTCAAATAATCAAACAGAAAAAGTATTTCTACATTTAACCAAATTTAATTTCCGTTCAGTGAGATAATTTTCCATAAAAATTTTGAAGATGTAAATAAATTATCTATCAATTGATTTCGTTTCATAAATTAACAAAATAAACACAATTTAATTTTTTTTTTCATTTCAGTTTTTTTATTTTTTTTTTTTTTGCTCTATTCTTTTTGTTTCATTTCAATTGAAATTATATAAAAATTAAAATTAATTAAAGGAAAAAAGTAGGAAAAAAATAGCTTTAATAAAAAAAAAAAAAAAACAAAACAAAAACTTTGTAACAAACTAATATTACTAATTACCACAATTATTTGCTTTATATGCTCTAATAAGTTATTTAGAAAAAAAAAAATAATTTTATTTCTTTCGTTTTGAAAAAATTTTGCTTCAAATTTTTTCTTTTTTTTTGTTCAGAAATATCCTTCAAATTTGAAAGGAAAAGGAAATAAAAGAATGGAAGTAAACATTTATAACTAACAAAATAACAAAGTACCAAAAATAGTAATAATATCAACAATAAGTTTTTGAATATTTTCTTCTTTTAATTTTTCCTTTTTTCAAAACTTTTTTTTTTATTTTTTAAAAAGAAAAAAAGTGAAAAAATTGAAGTGCGTTTTTGAGCGGACAATTTGGAAAATGCATACCAATTCATTTTCATTTATTTGTTATTATTATTATTTATTCATTTATTTATTTGTTTATTAATTTATTTATCTGCTTATTTATTTATATTGCTATTATTATTGTTATTATTTATCATGACAAAATATTATTATTATTTATTCTTACTCTTATTATTATTATTGTTATTTATTATTATCGCCATTAATTATTATTATTAATACATTTTGCAATGATTAGTTTTGTTGAAATTTCTATAAGAAAATTTATAAAAATATTTTTTTTATTATTAGGAAATATCTTATTTTTGTTCTATTTTAATTTTTTTTTCTTAAGAATTTTTGAAATTTACGCTGATATTTCAATGTAATTGAACGGAAGAGAGAGAGAGAGAGAGAGAGAGAGAGAGGGACGAAGAGAGAAAGAAAAATAAACAATAAATGAAACAAAAGAAAGGGAATCAATTAAAAGAAGCAAATAAAGTAATCAATTTACCAATAAAAGTAATAATTTAATATCTGAAATAATGTTAATATTAGAATTTTTATCTTAAATAAAATTTTATTTCAATTTTCTTTTTTGTTTTTTTCCAATATTGCAAATTATAATTATAGCATAACAATTAAATATTTGAAAATTTTTAAACTGAAAACAAAAATTTCGCTTTATGCACTGAAAAGTTTAGTATTTCGTTCGAAATAATGAAATAGTCATAAGTTTTTTTTTTGTCATTTGGTATTATTTTACATTTGATAATATTTCATTTGATAATAACTGCAAAAAAATTTATATCAATCAATCAGCCAATCAGTTACTCAATCAAACAGTCAATTAATGGATTAATCAATCAATCAATCAATAAACCAATCAATCAGTCAATCAGTGAGTCGGTAGCCGGTCAATCAATCAGCCAATCAATCACTTAATCAAACAGTTAATTCATGGATTAATCAATCAATCAATCAATCAATCAGTAAGTCGGTCAACCAATCAGCAAATCAATTACTTGATCAAACAGTCAATTCATGGATTAATCAATCAATCAATCAATTATAATATCTGCTGTCCACTGCTATTATCCGATAAAATTATAGCTTCCTCATTTTGCTGGTATTAAACAATTAATTCATCAACTAACTAATTAATTAATCAATCAATAAATCCACCGCCTAATCAATCAATCAATCAGACAATCAGAAATAAGCACTCATATGTAAATCATATTCCACTTTACATAGAATTTCGACTCATTTTTGATTTACATATATCATTTTGACTCAGATATATCATTTTGATTTATTTTCAATTACAATGCCCTTTTAACTGTAATGATATGATAAAAGAATAAAATGATAAAATGTGAATAAAAGGAAAAAAAGAAAAGAAAAGAAAAGAAAAGATTGCTATTTATCTTTAATTTTTGTTTTCTTTTTTCTTCATTCATTCCTCTTTTTCTTTTGTTGTCATTTGTTAGTTTAAAATTGACAATTTGTATTTTTTTTTTCTTTTCGTCTAAAATGGATTGCTGCTTTGATTCATTTTCATTTCCTTAAATAGCTCAAAAGAAAAAATTGCAAAAGTGCATTTTTGCTTGTTTGTTTGTTTGTTGTTTTTTTTTTTCATTTCATTTCATTTCTTTTTAATTTTTCTTGAAAGAAAAAAAGAGAGACTTATAACAGAAAGATTAAAATAAGAAAGTAAAATTTAAGAGAAAAAAAAAACAGAAAAATAAAATTTGAAAAAAAATTTAAAAAGCAGATTTAGTATATTTATCTTCTTTCAAGTTTTTTTTTTGGTTTTTTTTGTTTTTTAATTTCATTTTATCAAACATTTTTTCTTTCTTTCTTTCTCACTCTTTCTTCTCTCTCTCTCTCTCTCTTTCTCTCTCTCTATCTAACTATTTTCCAAACCTCTCTTATCGAATTTATTCGTTTTTTGAAGATAAATATATTTAAACGTATGAAAACGCTTTAAATTCTTAATTCGTATTCAGATGATTGCGTAAATATACGTGTACAATACACGTACGCTGATAATATAAATTGAAGCGTAAAATGAAGGCCAATTAAATGATTTAAAAAAATGAAACAATTAAAAAGAAAATGTAAGCATTTGTTAAAAAAATACTTCCAAAAAAAAAAAAAAAGAATATATATATATTATATATATTTTTCCTGTTTGAAAATTAGTTTAAAAAATTTCAATTTATAAATTATTTATTTATATGCAAAAAAAAAAACTTCTAAATCATATTTACGTCAAAATTTTTCATCCAATTTTTTTTTTTTTTAAAAATTTCGATTCTTTTTCTCGCATATATTTTGAAATAAATATTTGATTTTTTCATTTTTCCTCTTTTCTAAGTAATTTGAACAAAAAAAAATACAACCATTTATTTGATTTTTATTAAATAAATTAAATTTTCCTTCAAAAGATTACTTTAATTAAAACTTTAAATCACAAAATTTTTAAGGTTTAATATTTTATAGTAAATATTGCAAGTCTAAAAGATGATTATAATAAATATTTCGATAAGAATGAACTAATTTTCAATACATATTCATAATTTTTTTTATTTGAAATTTAAATTCATGTTTTCTTTCTTTAATAATTATTTGCCAAATTAATTAGAATTTAAATTAAAAATTAATTAATTACGAAAAAAATAAATTAAAATAAAAAAACTAACACCAATTTCAATGAGACGATTTAATGCTTGCAGTTTTTCTTGCAATTCTTCCGCATTAGCACCTTGTGCATCTGTAAAAAAAAATCAAACATTTTATTTGCAAAAATTAAAATTATAATAATTAATTAATTGATTAATATCATTTATATTCATATTCTAGAAGAGAAAGCACAATAATATTTATATTTTTATTTAAATATTTAACTAATTTTTAAGAAATCTCATTTTTTGGGACGAAAAAAAAAAACGAAATTGATACAATCAGTAATAATTATAGTTTTATTCAAAAAGCTAACCAATTTTAAAGAAATTACATTTTATTGGGAATGAAAATTGGAATTGAAATATGGAAAAGACAAATTTGATACATAAAATATTCAATAATAATTATATTTTTATTCAAATAGTTAGGTAATTTAAAAAAAAAATCCCATGGCTTTTCTTTTTTTTTTTTGAATTTAAAATAAAAATTGGAATTAAAATATGGGAAAGATAAATTTGATGCATAAGAAATAAAAAGAAAATTTTGTAAAGATAAAATGGAAAGCTATCATTTAAATCTAACAATGATTGATCAATGTTGCATGTTATAAGCTTATCAAAAAAAAAAAAAAAATTGAGAAAAATATAAGCAATTTTTTAAGCAATTAATAATATTTTCCCTCTTTTTGCTTTCATAAAAATATAAATAGAAATGAAAAAAAAAAAAAAAAACAAAAATTAAAAAAAAACTAAAAAGAAATTGAAATATTGTATTTTGAATTATAATTATTATTATCAAGCAATCATTCATATCAAATCATTTATCACTAGCAGAAATTTCACAAAAATTTTTATTCCTAAATTAATTAAATCATTTATCTAAATTTTTGAATATTTCAAAAAACTATTCTCTTTTGTCTTTTTTCTAATGCTTTGCAACGTATAAGGAATACTTTGATTAATTGTATTTAATTATAAAAATAAAAATTGAAAGGCAAAATTTAATTTAAAACAATATAAATGAAAGCAAGAAAAATTATTAATTACTTTTTTTTCAAAAAATTCTATAGTTTATAAAATTAATCAAATAATTAATTTTCAGAATTAAAATAGTAATTAGAATCTATTTGAAAAAATATTCTATCACAATTAAAGAATTAAAAAAAAGCTTTTAATTTTGAATAAATTTCCATTAATAAGTCAATGTTACTATGAAATGTCAAAAAAAAAATGCGTTTATGAAATTTAGAAAAAGAAATTAAATTTATAAAATTTTAATAAGAAAGCATTCTAAAATTAAAATCATGTAATCAACAAATTTGTAAAAAGATTTATCAAAATTTAGTAATTATATTTGCTTTATGAATATATAATAATGTTATGTGTTGAAAAAAAAAATAAATAAAAATATAATAACAAATAAAAATTTAAATTTAATAGAAACAAACCATATGGCAGTTCGAAGCGTACGTCAACTAAAATTGAGTGCCCAGTTGGACGACTTGTTCCAACCGTTTGGCCATTTCGAGTTTCTAATTCTTGATCAATTTGTAACCACTTGCCAGGACCTGCTTCATTACTGTATTGCACCGATGTTAATGTTAAGTAATGCACACCTGTAATTAGCAGAAATTATTGCAAATTAATGAATTAATAAAATAATTGGAAATTATAATGAATAATAAAATGAATATATTAATGACAATAAATAAAATTAATAAAATAATTAGAAATTATGACGAATAATGAATTAAATAAATAATTGAAAATTATGACGAATAGTGAGTTAATTAAATAAATAATTAAAGATAATAAAGAATTAATAAAATATTGGAAACCAATGATGAATAGTCCGCCACAGTGAATTATAAAATAATTGGAAATTAATGAAGTGAATTAATATAATTGGAAATGAATTCATAATGAAATAATAAAGTAGTGAGGAATTAATAATAATGAATCTAAACACCAAAATGAATTAATCATTAAACTGAATTAGGTAAAACAGAAAAAAGAATCAGCCATAGACTTTACTGTATCAATGATTGCTATTTATTACAAATGTAAACAAACAAACAAATAAATAACTAAATGATTATTTAAAAAAAAAATTTCTTTTTTTTAAAAAGAAAAAAAAAACATATAAACATAGATATAACACAAATTATGATGTAACTTGAATGTTTGAATTTATTAAAATTTAAATAATAGAATTTACTAAAATTTAAAATAATCAATTATTATTAAAAACAAAAAGAAAATTACTAAAATCTAAATTATTAAATTCTACGCTAACGTGAAAAAAAAAATATATTCCGTACGTCTTGTTTACATCTATTTATCTACACGTGGCTTTATTAGACGTAATGAAATAATTCATTGAAATTAAAAATGAAATGAATTTTTCACAAAAAAAAAATATATTCAAGGTTAGGTTTTTTTCTTTAATTTACTAAAAATTTAATGACAGATAAAATTTATAGAAATTTAAAATATTTTATTTGAAATCATTTAATTTCTTTCTATTAAAAAATTATTATTTTTTTTATTCAAAATACTTTTAATTCCTTTTTCTCCTATTATTCACGCTCCATCATCTTACATATAGTAATTTAATTGTTCATTATATTAATTTGAATTCAAAATATAATTTTTGCATCATTAAATTTGAAATTATCTCATGAATAGACGCAGAAAAAAAAAAGAATTTTTTTTTAAAAGAGAAATCAAACTTTAAAATAAGAATGAAATGAAAATTAATAAATAAATAAATTACCGAGAAGTTTATCCCAAAGGACACCTTTATTCCAAAGTTCCAATAGCATACCATTATCAATTCGATTTGTTTCACTGCAATAAAAAAATTATTCATTTTTATTAAATATAATTTAGTAATTCATTATTATAGTTAATATTATTAACAATATTTTAACTGATTCATTATCATTTTATCAATTAACAATCAGTGATAATACTTGCTAATTGTTTCATTTTCAATACTTAAGTCACTATCATTTCATCAATTACTGATAACATTTATTAATGTATTCGATAAATTTCATTCTTTTTCACTGAGTTTTTATCATTTTAAACTGCTAAGACAAAATGATATTATTCAATAAAGTATTTGGCTAATTTCAATCTATTTTAAATAATAATTTCCAACTGAATATTTAACATTTTATCAGTTTAACAGTTTAATAGTAACATTTGTTAATGTCTATTCTATGTATCAATTATCAGTACTTATCATTTGCATTAACTAACACAAATTTAAAAAAGTCGGAATGAAATGATAATTTTAATTTTGATGCTATTTTTTCTTTCATCATTTTTTGTTTTGACAAATGTTATCAGTTTTATTTGGCCAAAGTTTTTCGCTCCTTTTAAGTAATCGTTATCAGCTAACTTACTTTTACTCATTTACTTACTTTATCTCACTTTTTACTTTACCAATTACTTATTTACTAACTTTACTCTACCAACATTCTTATTATCTTACATATAACTAAAAATACACATATAACCATGTGCACACACAAATTTAAAAATTTAATTTATTAGAAAAGATTTTTTTAAAAAAAAAAAAAAAAAGAAGATGGATCGAACAAGATGAATTCTTGCTCCCAGCATGGTTGATTGCCTTTTACTGCTATCGTTGTCGATTTAACATTTTGTAATTTAACTACAGCATATGAATTGAATTCATCTGTAAATTAATATCAAATTAAATTGTTAAAAAAAAAAAATTTTTTTTTTTTCATTGTTTAAAATTAAAATTAAATTTGTTAAAAATTTTTTTTTCTTTATTAAGAAATAAACGAAAATTAATTTGCTAAAAATTTTGTTAAAAAAGAAAAAAACATTTGAAAAATCTTTAAAAATAAATTAGTGTCAATATCATGCATAAAAAGAGAAAAAGAATTTAAGTTGGTAATAAAAAATTTACAAAAAAACAAAAAGAAAAACGAAAAAAATGTAAATAAATGGAAATAGAATGAAATTGATCAATTAATTTTATTATTTTTTTTTTAAATTGCAATTGATTTTAGTCATAAATTAAAATTTTTACTGGAATAATCAAAAAAAAGGAAGCATAAAAATATATTCTGTTCATAATAATTCTAAATAATATAATAATTGAAATAGCTTCAATTTATTTTAATAAAATTTCATTTCTTATAAAGTACTAATCAAATTTGATGCACAAAACATTGATTAAATCATTGAAAATAATCTTAAACATTACTAAAATCTAAATTTTTTAATTATTCGCTAATTTTATTTGTCTCTAATATTGAATTTTATTAATTTATAAATTATTTAAATATTGAAATGTGATAAGACAATATGGATGTAATATATAAAAAAGTATTTAATAAATTTTTTGAATAAAATCAAAAAAAAAGAGCAATTTTATTACTCTAAATTTACTAAATTACAACCTGAAATGATAACATTTTGTAAAGAAATAGAATCGACAATTTTGAAATAACATAAGTATCATTAAAACAAATTAATTAAAAAATCAAAATAAATTAATTAAAAGAAAATATATGCAATTTTTCATAAGGTACCAAAATTTTAAAAATTCTTACAGTTCGTACGAATACATTTGAAATGATAATTAAGAAGGTATCAAATAAGTAAAAAAATGAATTTGAAATTAAAAAAAAAATTTAATTATTATTAATAAATATGAAAAATTTATTTTATACAAATTTTTGAGTGTAAAATTTTTTCCAAAAATTTTTGTGCTAACTGAGAAAGAAGAAAAGAACATTATTTATTGTAATATTCAAACACTTTTAACATAAAAAAAGAAATCGTTAATTTATGAATTGCCTAACAGTTGAGCAAAATGATAAGAATGATAACTGTTATCAATGTAATGTAATATTCAAAATACTTAAATAATGTATTAAAAATTTAGAAAATATTTTGCTAACATTCGTTGACAATAATTACTACATTCATCGTTTATTCAGCTTTTTTTTAAAAATTGTATATTATATGTGTGACAAAAATTATCAAAAAAAACCTTAGATAAGTAAATGATAAGCTGATAAGAACCATTATTACCTTATCATTTCTTTTAATTAAAGTTCTTTGATAAACATTGTCGGTGTATTGTTTATTTCACTAGCATTTTTTTTTTTATAATCTTTTTCATTTATAAGTACAACTTAACACTTTGTTGTGTTGAAAAATAAAAAAGAGGAAAAATGGAAAGAAAAAGATTATAAAATTAAATTTAAATATTTTGAATGAATGCATTGATTGATAAATTTGATAAGGTAACTCTCTAAACAAACAATAAATTAATTTATTGTGAAAGTTATTTTCGTTTCATTTCTTCTCTTTTGCTAAATAAACAAAAATAAGATGAAAATAAAAAAACAAAAATTGCAAATCAATATTTAAATTGATGAGTTATTAAAGTAAATTGATAAGATCAATTAAAAATTACCAATAATTAATAAAAATAAAAAGCGAAAAATTTAAAGAAATCTAAACAGAAATATCAATTTTTTATTCCAGTTATTCATTAATAATAAATATATTATTAATCAATTTTGCTCATTCATAATAAATTACTCAAACCAAATTTATTAAATTGTTATAAATCATTTCATCTCATAAATAAAAAAAAAAAAAATTAGACAAATTTGAAGAAACAAAACGTAATAAAAATTTTTTTTATTTTATCCAAAATAATGATTATTTTTTGTTTTGAATTAAATAAATTAGTAATGAAATTTAATTTCAATTATTTTTCACGAATAATTACTGAAAAAATTATTTAAAATGCATGCAGGAATTAATGGGAAAAAATGAGCAAAATTAATTTTTAAAATGATATTTTGATGCCCTTTTCTCTTTATTCCTATTAATTATTTAATTACTCAATTATTATTAATTTTGATAAGTTCGTAAGCTTTAATTAATGCATATAAAATTGTCAAAAATTTGTTATAAAAAAATTTTGTTAGAAAACTTCCATTATTCTTATATTCTTCTTATTGTTAATATTAATTTATAATTAATGCATTGAAAAACAAAAAAACAAAAAAAAACAAAAAACAAAAAATAAAATATATATTATATTGCATGAAAAAAAATCATAAATTTTATTTTTTATTTTTTACAAATATTTCATATTTTCTATTTTATGATAAATAATATTTTCGTACATTTATCTTATGCTAATCAAACTATTTTAAACTAAAAAAATTTTTATTTTCATAATTTTTCTTTTTTTGCAAAATTTTTTGAAAAAATAAAAACAAATCCTCGTTGATATTTAATGATGCAAATTTATTTTTTATTTTTAATTTTGGTTTGAAAGGAAAAACTTTCAAAAATGTCATAATTTAAAGTCAAAAAAATTGAAAAGAAAGAAAAAAAAAACAAAAATTTCAATAATTATGAATAAATATTAATTGTTTTAGGTATTTTTATTGCGGTAAAATATTAGTTGACATTACCGCCAATAATTTTACTAATATACAATGACTAGGAAAATTTTCAAAAATTTTATAGATTGATTAATGTATGATTTATTTGATAAAGAATAAAATAATGATTATTTAATTATGGTCATTTAATGAAATAATATTTAATTTAAAAAAATCATTTTAAAATTTCTTTTTTCTCTTTTTTTTTCATTTATTACTTTTATTCTCTCTTATATTCTTCTATTATTATTATATATTCATTCAGTAGACCTAAAATTTTTGATAAATTTTATTTAAATTTTTTAGAAAAATTTTAGCAATGATTATTTATAAATTATCAGAAGAATATAATAATTGTATGAAAACATTTGCTATAGCAATAAATGTTCAATTAATAATTAGCAAGGCAAAGTAAAACTGACAGATATCATTTCTTAAAAATTTTATTTAAAATTTATTAAAAATTGAAAAAAAAAAATTATATTACAGAATGTTTGCCGTATCATTTATCAACATGCATCGATAAATTAATCACAGAAATTTTCGTTCATTTTTACCTATTCATCAAATATTTTCTCGAATAATCCGTAGATTATCATTAAATGAATACATTCTATTAAAATCAGTGATACCAAAAAATAAAAAAAAAAAAAAACTTATTTATTATTATTAATAAATACTTAATGATATTTTTGATTAAATATGCTAGAAAAGATTTTTGATTTTATGAAAAGACCGATAAAAAGAATAATTAATGATAATTATGCAATTATGTCTTATTTTTTTTTATCAATGGCACTTAAAAATATAATTTTTAGCTAAAATTAAATTTAACCAAAAAAAAAAAAAAAAAAAAAAGAAAATGAAATATAAAAATTAAATTCTAGAATAAATATTGAAAATAGCAATTAAAGAAGGAATTAATAATAGCATAATTATAAAAGAATAATTAATAAGATTGTTTACTAACTAACCTTGCGATCCTTGAAGTCGTGCCTTTCGGACTGAAATATTTCCTTTTATTGTTTACTGTTGTAAATATTAATATTTTATAATACTTTTTGCTTTTGTTTCTTTAATTCATTTTTTAATTTACATATTTACAGTTTAATATTTTTATTTATTGTTTGGTGCCTATTTTTTCTTTTTTTGATTTTATTATCATTTATTGTCAATTTTTTATTGCTTAACGTTTTTTACTTGTTTACTATTTATTGTTTATTGTTTATTGTTTACTGGTTATTACAGACCATTGTAAATACGCATATATGTGCATGTTACACAACAATTTTTGTCATATTATTATCTTATTTTCATACTATTCACTCATCACTTTTTCTTATCTCTTAAACTGATACTGTTGTTTACTGTTTATTTATTTATTTTGTCATATTATTAGTTTACTTTTTTTTTCTTCTCTTTTTTTTCTGATTTTTGGTTTTCCAAAGAGATAAAACAATAAATGATCATTTAGCATATTTCATTAATGCTTATAAAATATTTATTATAGAATTTCATTTCCCTAACAAAGGAATAATTAATGTTGTTGGCAAATAAATGATTTTGATAAAAATAATAAACATAAGATATACATATACACTTACTGGTGACGCACAACAGTGACATACTGACGAAACTGTTAAAGTAATTTCCTTTTCATGACATCCTGTAAAACAACGTCAGCAAATTATTATGAAGGAATCAACCGGATAATAGCACTAGAGTAGTAGTAATAATAACGATAGTAATGGAAATATTAATAAATAATAATAGTAATATTAATAATAATAAACAATAATAAAAGTAAATAATGACAATAACAATAATAATAGCAAAGAATGACGACAATAATAATAAATAATGCTAACAATAATAATAATGATAACAATAATAATAATTAATAATAACAACAAACATTAATAATAATTAGTGATAACAATAACAACAATAATAACATAGGAAATAATGACAATAATGATAAATAAATAAATAATAATAAAGTAGTAGTAAACAACGATAATAATAAATAAATAATAATAATAAAACAACAGTATAGAATGATAATAAATAAATGGACTAATGAGCACACACACACACACACACACACACACATACACACTCATATACACACATACACACACACACACACACACACACACACACACACACACACACATACATATATACATAGACATATAAGCATAGAGAGACAGACAGACATATACAAACTGAGAAAAGAAAGAATGTAAAATTGGTAAAATGTTTCGTTATAGATTAGAAAATATGTAAAAGTATGAGAAGATTAAATGGAAAAGCTATAGTGGATAATGCGATGTGATGGAATATAGAAGAATGGAATGAAATGAATTGAATTGAAATGAAATGAAATGAATTGAAATGGAATGGAAATGGAATGGAATGGAAAAGAGAGAGACATATGCTTTCTACTCTACTACGAATGGAAGAAAGACGAATACGAATTCTCGAGCAGAAGTTTAAAGCTTCTCAACTGAGACATGCAAAAAAGCATGTCGAAGCATGTTATGCATATGTATGTATGTATGTATGCATGTATGTGTATATGCATATGTATGTGTGTGCATGTATGTATGTATGTATGTGTGTATGTATGTATGTGTGTATGTTTGTATGTATGTCATTAACGATTCTTCATCAAAAATATGATATAAATATAGGAGAAAACAATCATTTTTGACTAAAATAGATGCAAAAAAAAAAAAAAGAAAAGGAAAAGGAAAAAGAAAGAGGAGAAAAAGCTATATATGACAAAATAGTATAGGAATAGAGTTAGTCAGTAGATTGTTTAGCTAGTAAGTTAGCTAACTAGTTAGCTAGTATGCTAGTAAGTTAGCTAGTTAGATTGAAAAGATAGAGAAGTTAAAATAGATAGATGAATAGATGAATTTTATTTAGAATAGAATAGATAGGATAGGTAATTAATAATACTTACTACTACTAACTGCTATATTTCTTCCTTTTGCTTCTTTCTTTCTTTCTTTTAAGGCTTTAAAATCATTAAATTAGCTTATTTATTCATAAACTTTTCACTTTATTAATTATTTAAATTTCTTTCTGTGAGAAAAGAAGAAAGAAAGCAAATAAATAACAAAAAAAAAATAAAAAAAAAATAAAAGAATAAAATTGAAAAAAAATGCAGCAACTATAGCCCAAACCGTTTGCTTAATTCATTGCAAATGTTTTTTTCGTCTCTCTCATTTTTTTTTTCTTTTTCTTGGCTTATTTATAAAAAGCCTATATGTATGTATACTTTAGATATTGTTCCCATTAGATCAGGCCTTTTTAATAAATCTCTTAGATTAAGTGAATATTTTCATCCTATCAATTCATCTTTAACTCTCTCAAACTCTCCATTTCTTTCTCATTCATTTTATTGAAGCATTTTTAAAATGTATAAGTCTTGTTTTCTTCTTTTTTTTGTTGTTTAGGCCTTTTTATTATTCTTTTTTTTATTCCTTTCACTAAAAAAGAAAATATCAGATTTAATAATTCACAATATTTTGAGTTATATAGATTTACAAAGCTAATTTCATGTAATTTTGAAATAAAATTATTGTATGTTTTATTTTGTTTGTTTGTTTGTTTGTTTATTTATTTATTTATTTAAATTATATTAGCCACTGAGTGTATAATTTCATTCCATTTTTGTGCATGTAATTTTGAAATAAAAATTTTTTAATTTAAATAATTTATGATTTGCAAATAATTTGAGCAAATTCACTAATATTTCTAATGAAAAAAGAAAAAAAAAATAATCGCAGCAACAAACATTTTAATTGAAACTAAATGCTATATCAGTAGTATTAAGTATCATTTACTTATCATTTACTTTAAATTCCAATAAGGTAAAATTAAAATATATTAACTAACAAGAGGAGAATATTATGACAATAATTAAATTTCAATTTTTGCCATAATTTAAACAAATGAACGAATCAGAATTGTCATACATTTGAATTTTCTCATTTTTTTTTTCTTCATTATCATTCCCAAACTGATTCGTTTTTATTTGTTATAAAAAAAAAATGAAAATATTAAATAAATTCAAATTTGATTTTTTACTTTATATCATTTCATTCCATATAATTTTTTACACAAAATTTCAATAAAATTTTTTAAATTTAGCAATTAAAAAAAAATTAAAATTTCTTCCAAATGGTACACTTTCAGATTTATTTTCAAACAGCATCCAATTCATACTGTTATCGTTAACTTTAATGATAGAAATTATAAAAATTTAATGCATGAAAGCCTCATAATAGAAAAGCATTGGCGGCATTATACAAATAGCGCCATTATTCAAATTTTAATATCACACATCTTTTGACCGAATAACTTTTTTGATGAAATTGTTATCAAAAATAAAATATAATTTAAAAAAAAATTTGAAAGAAATGAGAAAAAGAAAAAAAAATTTATTCAATAAATTTCTTTTATGAAATAATCTTACAAAATGATCTCAAAAAAAAAAAAAAAAGTATTTAAATGTATATATATTCTGTTTCATAATATATAAATATATAACAATTTTTACTGATTTATTCATTTATAGTAATAATTTAAAAGGAAAAAAAAAGACATTTGCTAATATTCAAATAGAAAAACATTTAAGTTAATAAATAAATCAATTAATCATTAAAAATTATTATATAAATTTGATTAAAATTTTTTTTTATCAAAAGAAATTTTATATCAATCAGTAAGTTTTTGTTTTTGTCTTTTATTTATAAAACATAAACAATAAAATAAATGGAAAAAAAAAGAGGAAAAAAAATGAAATAAAATAGATTGAGAAAGGAATAGGAAAGTTTAATTTAATGAAAAAGCTTATATTCTTTGCTTTTTTCTCTCCAATCAAAATGAATTAGCACTTTTTCATGAAAATGTAATTAGATTCAAACGAGAAATATGAATATTTGTTATCAGTGATAAAAGTATGTATGCTATGAGTATGTGTGTGTGTGTGTGTGTGTGTGTGTGTGTGTGTGTGTGTGTGTGTGTGTGTGTGTGTGTATGTGTATGTGTGTGTGTGTGTGTGTGTGTGTGTGTGTGTGTATGTGTATGTGTGCATGTCTATATTCTACAAGTATTACAATAAGAATTTATTATTAATTGTTATTATTATTAATTTATTCAAGTATTAGATTTAAGATTTTGATAAATGTTAAAAATACATTTCAATGAATATAATTGGAAATATTACAAAAATATCTAATTTTTTTTTGAGAAAATAATTATAAATTAACTGTAACTGGAAATCTATTTTTGTTAAAATTATTTTTTTTATTCGTTAAAATTTTGTATAAAATATTTTCAATTTAATTTCTAAATTTCAAAATAATTTGTGAATGAAAAAAAAAATTGCAAAAACAAAATGAAAGCATATTAGCATTTTTTTTTTTTTTTTGATTTAATAGTATCAATTACTTCTTTTTCCTTTATTTTTTCATTTATTTGATAAATTAAACATTTGCTTAAAATATGTTTAAAGTTTAAATATATTAATAATTAATGAGAAAAAAGAAAAAAAAAACAAAAATGAAGGAAAAGTGAAATTAAAGCAATTATATATTAAATTTAATATTATTTGAAAATAAATTTTTGTTTTTTTTTTTTGAAAGATGGAAGGGAAAAAAAAAAATTAATTTAAATTAGGTAATTGAGAGAAAATAAAAAGAAGAAAAATTGGCTAATGAAAAAAAAAAAATATCAGTTTAATTTCACCGAAGTACTGTTATTATCATTCAATTAATGTTTTTTCTTTTCTTTTTCATTCTCAAATTTAGTACTATCAAATTAAAATAAAAAATAGAAAATATAAATTTAAAAAATAAAATAAAAATAAAAAAATTATTTTTTATTTTGGCTGAAAAAAAAAAAAACATTGAAAGGAGGAATGATAATAATATCCCATTGAAAAATAAAATGCTAACAACTATTGTTTGCTTTCAATTTTAAAAAATTTTTTTTTTTTTTTTTTTTGCTAGTTAGGTATTTTTATGAAAGTACTTAAATCGTTACGACCTACTACCGCTTATTTTCAAAATAATGAGCAAAGTAATTTGTTAGCTTTAAATATTTGAAGCAAAAAAAAAAATTTTACTTCAAAAAATGAATTTACAGATTAATTTTTTTTTTAATTTCAAATTTAAATAATACAATGTGCTTTAATATTATTTATAAACAAAAAAAAAAAAAATGATCTATTTATGGAAATATATAATTATGAACAAATGTACATAGCAAAAAAAAAATGTTATAATTATGATTATGCAGTAGTTATTAAAATGAAAAATAATGATTATAAAATAATTAACAACAAAACTAAAAATATTTTATGATTGCAAAGAAAAAAAAAATTTCTCTGAAAAAAAACTCATAACAAAATTAAAGTTATAATTGTAAAAAATACAAATTATTTTGTAATTTGAACAATTTCAAATCAATTTTACCTGAATGCATATTCATTTGAAAAAGAAAATGGCAATTCAACAATTTATCAAAGAATGATCAAAAGTTCATATTTTTCATCTATGATAAGCTGAAGCTATTTAAGATTGCATAATTTAGGATTAAGATGTGAAAGG